ATATATGTGTGTGTGTGTGTGTGTGCTATATCTTTTAAAATGTTCCATCAAGTTGTTTTAACATACATGTTTATTCTCAAGTTTCAGCTTCACTAATTTTTAAATCATCAATATATATTTAAGTTAAATAGATTTGTGTGGCCTGTTCCATGTTACGGGTTGGTAATGTTACAACACCTAGATTGAATGTAATGCAGTCAAACTGCGTTGTGCATTTATTGATGTGGTAGGAGTTCTGTTTGTTGTATTTGACCTTCTGACAAACCAGTCACGTGACCACCATCTCGCGGCCTTCTCAGGTTAATTGGCGGGATTTGTTCATTGGTCCGCTCTGATTGCACCAGGTGAGTCTGTCCCTCTTGGTTGGCTAAACCGTGGCAACATCAGGGTACATATCAGCCTCCAAAACCCCGCACACGCACACGGAAGCCCCTTTAGCCTCGCTTCCTTACCCCCAGGCCGGACGGTTCACGAGGCTTTGACCCGCAGCACGATGACTTCTGAGACCCACCAAGAAACCGTGGCGCTGGAGCAGCCAGAAAACACCGAGGCAACGTCGATTGTGGTGGTAGGTGGTCTGCAGCGATTTGTTAACTGCAATACTTCCGTCAACACAAAGGCACGTGAATAGTAGTTCTGGTAGTTTTTACCTGTTGTCTCCTCTGTAGGAAGTCGTCGTTGTGGGGAGAGATGGGTTGTTTCGCTCCATGCTGCGCGGCCTCTTCTGGCCCTTCGGCCTCGTGGTACGAGCAGCAGCACGCTAGCGTAATGCATTGTGTGTGTGTGTGTGTGTGTGTGTGTGCGCGCATTTAACCTGTTAGATTTACATGCAGCTTGACGTGGCTCTCACTCAACAGATGCGCACATACCGCGGGTTTTGGTGGATGCTGGGCTACCGGCAGCCCCAGGAGAGCGTCCTCCTCAGCCCCGCGGTCCGCAGTCCCGCACGCCAGAGCCTCTCCGGCCGCAAGCGCCTGCACAGGGTCACCCGCATGCTGCTGTCCGTCCTGCCCCGCTGGGTGCAGAGCGTCCTGGGCTACCCGGTGTCCAGCAGCATTGGACGCTCCCTCTCACCAGGTGTGGTAGTTTGTGGGGCTTTTTGTCCAGCTAACACTTTTAAATTCTTTAGAAATGAGTTCATCAGTGGCTTTGATTTTATATTCTGCTTACCTGCAGATCTACTAGACTAGTCTAGGTGAGGATGGTCTGTGTTCTCGGGTGTAGGGAAAGCCGAACTTTGACTCAACTGCTTGGAATTTATACCTACACTAAGGGGTGACGGTCCTCAATTTATATCTAGTACTAAACTTTTAGCAGCTGCATACACAACATGCAAAAGGTGGTAAAAGAATCAGGGGACCCAGTGCAAGATTAGTGTATCCTGCTAAGTTCAGCAGCTTCTGACTAGGAAAAACTTGTTTCTTGGCAAATCTGTCAACTAGGTATCTGTTGTCAATCGGGGCCAAAATAAAGGTAATAGTTATGATTTACTGCATGGAAGCCTATGATTGTACTGATTTACTAAAAATGAGCTTGTTCCCCAACAGAAATCAGAGTCTCTCCTACTAAACCTTGTGGAAAGGGCAGCAAGAGAAAGCAGGATGAGTTGGACGAGGATGAGGAAGACGAGAATCAGACCTGGGTGGAGGTACTCAATCAGCAGCTTGCTGACGACGACGACGACGAAGATCCCGACTATGAGGTAAGTGCTCAGGTTCAACCAGATCCGTATGCGGTTTGCTCTGAAATGTCCAAGCACGCTCTTCTTCCCATGTCTGTAATCTGAAGGGGAAATGAGAGGTACATCAGGGTTTCTCTTCTGCACATTACTGTGTGTGTACACACTTCAAAATACTGACTCGCAATACTACAACACGACTAAAACTACTTTAATCCAAAAACCTTTAATACAACCTGATAATGGCTGCCGATGTCGTTCTCCTAATGCTGACCATCTCTCAGCCCAGTACCATTGACGTTGATAGTGAAGAGTACAACTCGCACAACGGCACAGAAAGTGACTTGGAGCTTCAGGGGCAAAGCGTCATCATTGAAGATTTGAACACGGTAAGATCCATGGAGGCACGGAGTAAAAAAACAAACTGTCTGATTAATGGAGACGAGTGATGCAATGCACTAACTTGCCCATTTGTTTTTTAGGGTCTTTAGATGTCTGCTCCATCTGAAGACTCTTGCCCTGCTGTTTAATTTGTCCTGTTGACAAAGTTGTAGTTCAGTGTTTTTGTATGTTTATATAATAATTCAATAAAATGTGTCCTTTGCCTTGACATTGCTGTGGCCTCCCACTAGATGGCAGTAATGTTTTTTCTGTTCTACAACTGAGCTGACAGGAGTGAGGAATGTTGGTATAATCAGTATTTCTTATACAATTTGTCAAAATGCAGTTGGTGCATGTGACTCAATACATTTTAAAACGTGTTTATTTGCAAATACTGTAATTTTCAAATTGCTCAACTTGATGCCTGTTTTTAGGTTGCTCTAAAATGTTGTTGGGTTTCTGCAGCTTGAAACTAACCTGATGTGATTAAAAATAAATGTTGCACTTAAATTTATAAATGCACTCAAGTGTGATTTGTTTTAAACTTCAGCCTTTGTTTGGCGTTCACTAGTGCGATATGCTTCCTGTGTTCGCCAGATTACAACTGTGCTCGTGATCACAGCCAAAGTACTTAAACCTGAACCTGAACATGTCGTGCAAACATTGTCAATTTAAACTAAATGTCTAATAGTGAAACTTAAGGTTTTTGGTGAGCTGCAGACTTGACTTCCACCCTTGTATATTTGACTAATGAAACCAAACAGCTGAAATTATTGGAGCATGTAATCATCACACTGAAGGGTAAAACAAAATTGTACAATTTCCTTTACTTAACTAAGCAGATGGCCTCTGAACTGTCTGTACATTAAGTGACACTGTCTGAGTTATCTTAACAGAATTACTTTTCATTTAGGCTCCACAAATCCTTAAAACCTCCAATGACTCGGACCTCGTTGGTCACATTTCGTAGTTTGACATGCCAACAAAACTCCGTGTATATTAGACTCTGCGCAACGTTGCCTTCAAATCTGTATGGCAGTTTAACATCTTTCACGTTTCCGTCCCTAATGCAGATATCTCTTGGGGATTGATTATGGAAATGAATAGCCAAAGACATAAGGACTGTTTTAAACGGTGGATGAACCGGTGCTATTTTTGACTTTTCAGCATGTGACTTTCTGTTTGACCCAGAGTTCAGCCATGCAGAAAACGAGTGTCATCATAGAGCTCACTGTGCTGCAGGTGAGGGCTGAGCCGCTGTGGCTCTCTTATGACTGGCATCAGGATGTGGAGTGTATTTTTGTGCTGCCCACTGAGTCGTACCACTTCTGTTGGCACACATGCAGTGTCTCTGCCGAGTGTGAGCTGTGTTTATGGGAGTAGGTGGCATAACCGTGAAGAGCCCCGCGCACCTCCTGAACATGATTGAACCAGTAATCTCGTCCTCGTTCCAGCAATTGGCGCCCGCTCTCCCCACACTGGACGGCGCAGAACAGATTATGGTTAGAGAGCTAATGTTGGTCTTTTGTTTCCATCTGTTTATTGCTCCGTTTAGATGCAAATTGTACACTTGAGGATGAATGCGAGAGAGGAAGCATCGCACTAACATTGTTGAGCTGTTAGTCAAGGAAGTTAGGAGAACTCCACTGATTTATCAGGAGTAAAACACTGGTATAACAATCGCTGTGGCTCTGGAGGAGCGTCTCTGATACCCCCGATGACATCACCAGGGGTTATCTCGGTTTGGAGACAGGAGACCTGCATTACAAATTAGGTTTGATGAAAATGAAGGTTTTTACTGAGGCATTTGTTGCTATATCATTCATAGCCTGATTTATATAATGTTTTATATCTTAAAACATGGCAAAAATTGATTTTCCTTTATGGCTGTTGACAGTATTTTCTGATTTATGGAGTGGGGAAATGAGATATCCAAAATGAGGATCCATCTGTAAAAAGCTTTGACTGTCAACAAAATGAGAGGATTTCTGAACCTGGCTTCATGCAGTGTTCTGTTCTGGTAACGTATGCACATTAATACATATTTAATAAGAATTCTTCATTTACATATTTAAATGTCCCACTGAGATTAAGATCTAATTATCAAGGGGACTCGACTTGTGGAGTGATGCAACATACTGGAGAGTAATAATAAACATTATACGAACATAATGCACAACAGGCCATGAAATATGAATTATACACAATTAAAACAATGTGTGTAATACTGTGGCTTTTTAAAATGAGCTGTAAAAAAGCCTTTTGATGATCCCTCTGAATCGTAAGCATTTTGTTTGGACTTCAGAGATGTTTGAATTGCAACCACAGCTAAGTTATATGATGCGGCAAAGGGAAAAGTGTTAACAATGAGGGTAAACTTTGCCAAAAACAGGAAAGTCAACACCTCTGACTATCTCAACAAACATTTGACATTATACGCCTCATCAAACTGCGCTGCTCTGTATGGTGTCTGAGTTAATTTGTCTGCTCTGCGTGCTTGTGTTCAGAGTTCAAAAGACTAGATCCAGCATAAATGGGGAAGTGGTTCAGTTGTTGACACCGAGATCCAGCTGCCTTCCTTCCATTCAATTAATTCCTGAAAACACTTGAAGTTGTTTTGACGGTGAACTTTGAGTCTTCCTTTTTTCTTTTCCCCTCAGATGTTTTTCACCTCCTGATGCTCAGGTGCAAAGGCAGCCGCCATCTTGCTGAAGCAGCAGAGCGCACTTTGGTATGAATTGAATGTGTGTGTGCGTGTTTGTGTGTTTGTGGTAAGGGCAGCAGCAGTGGGAGCTGGATACAGAACAGGAACTGATGGTCTCTGGAGGCTCTCATGGCTGTCTGAACGTTTGAAGGGTAGGCTACTCAGCAGAGGCAGCGATAGAGAGCATCGACCTCTATCTCTGGTGTTTGTAGCCAGCTGGAGACCGCTTTTAAACCCAGAAAGCTCCGTCTTTGCCTTTTTTTTTTTTTTTTTTTTTTTCTCCAACAAGCAAGGTGAAACACGGTGTCTGGAAAGAGGTGGTAAATTGCATGCACAGTCCCAAGTGTGCTGCAGAACAAAGGCCTGCCTGCCTTCGTGCGGTGAATGTAGCGGAGGGTCTTGTTGTTGTGCAACAGATGGCTGCATGCAGAGTGATTTGTTGAGGTGATCAGTTCAGATGCTGGGTGGTTATGTTGCAGGCAGCAGGGGCTTTCATATTATGTCACCAGCTTTTTTTTCTTGTTTTTGTAAATCACATTTTACCTGATCCATGTGAGCAACTCTATGCAGCACAGATTGTTATAAAACCCTCTCTGACACACACACACACACACACACACACACACACACGCACGCGCGCTGCAGAACCTGAACTAGGACTTGCTTATTGCCACCTTGAATGAATGGCAGCAGGTGTCATCTGCTCCCCAGGCCACCCATCTAACCTGCAGGCTATTATCTGCTGCATTACAATGCGACTCTGTAATGTCAGCCAACAAAAGCGCTCCCCCCCCCCTTCCGCCTCTCACTTTGTTTTTTCCGCCGCAACATTTCTTTACCAGACTAATGACCAGCTGTCCCCGTAGATCTCAAGAGCATCCATCATCTTCAGAGAAGTAGAGCAGGAGAAAAGTGGCGTGAAAAGCGAAGCGGACAGATGGGAGCCCCTCAGTTAGTCATACACTTTAATGCAGAGGAGGGCGAGGGCTCTCGGAAAAAAGTAAAGGAAACGTGGAAGTCAGATCTTGTGTAATCGATGTTGATTTTTTTGCACTGTTGGTGGATGAGCAACTGCTATAAGGGCGCGCGGCCTCTCAAAAAGTTTTCAGAACAAGACAGAATCGAGATCTTTTTTTTCATATTTTTTTTCATTTCCTTAATGTTGGTTTGGCCCTTCAAATAGTTTTATATGATAATCTGATGCCCTGAACGATCACAGGGCAGCTTATCCTCAACGTCCCCTCTGAGCCACCCGGCAGCGTCACCTCAGCGCCTCATCTGGGTGAGTGTATTTTACGTCTTGATCAATCCAGCCGGATTTAAAGGCTTTGCTGCTTTCTGTGATTGTGTTTGTCCTTGTCTCTGCGAAGGTTGCCAACTCACGGAAGACTGCGCAGCGCTCCTGCTGATGCCGCGGAGCAAATCCATTTTACGCGTCTATGATGCTGATTCTGAGACACAGCTGGTAAATCTTTATTCACACTCAGGAGCTGCAGTGAGTCTGATTCCTCTGACCTTAGTCAGTCTCTTGTTCAATTTGTTCACACCAGCTGGAGGAATTCTGACACTCTGAATGTGACAGACGTGGCGCTCTTCTCCTTTGTACGGCCTCCTTCGATTCCTTTCCTCGTCTCCTCTCCTGGCGTCTTTGCCTCCCACCTGATATGCAAGCGGAGGAGGCCAGGAAGAGACACGAGGAGAGAGGATGCAACAACAAAATGAGACTTTTGTTGCTTTTGTAGCCGCCGTTTTAAAGCGACACCAATTCAATATGACGTGTGGCACAGCTGCATCATCTGTCCTCAGAAGAGCATAACGGTGTTCATGACAACATGTATATTTACTTTTAATTCAATTCACTACGCTGTAGAATGTGTCACGCCTCCTTTCTACATCATGGGTGCCGAAAAAGACGCTTTCAAAGGACACACCTGTGCATCCTCGCTCATAGCTCCTCGGGCAAGCCTCCTCTCTCCTCGAGATGCATTTTAGGAAAGGAGACGTCCTTCATGGGGTCGATTTCTGCGTCACAGGCAGGAGGAGACGAGGAGGCACAAAATAGAGAACTGAGGGGTTGGATTGGTTAAATGTCAATCATGTAGGTCTCAGCACGAAGCTGTAAAAGTTAAAGTTCCTTCTTTTCGTGTGTTTCGATTGCATTGTTCAACATTGAATACTTTTACTTTCAATACTTTTTAAGTGCATTTTCCTGACAACACTTCCATACTTGTACTTAAGTAACATTTCCAATGCAGGACTTTTCAATGTAATTAAGTATTTCCATCTTGGAATATTAGTATTTATATTTACATGAAGGCTCTGAATACTCATTCCTCCTCCTCCACTGGAACTCAGTTGATGTTTAGTCTGATTATCAGGATAATTCTTCTGGGCTTTTAAATTGTAATGTTTGCAAATGCAGACGTGGTGTGAAGCATGCACTTCCAGTTATGTGGTTTAGTTTGGACAGACTATATCGGACAGGAGCTATGCGACAAACGATCGATACTTCTTAATAGCAGAGTGTGGAGAATTCTTCCTCTATGGATGAGAATTAAACATTTTGGTACCAGATTTAAGCCTGTGATGTAGAAAATAAAAGGAATAAAGAGGACATTTAAATGGAATTGTGTTTTACGAGAGACTGACTTGAAGCTTATTAGTCCAGCACACAAGTTTAACTTCTGAAGTAGCTCCTTCACTAAAATCAAACTCGAAATATGACTCATGTTCACTTGATCTGTTGGTGTCTTAATCGTGAATACTGAGCAGCACTGTAAGCCGCTTTGGATGAGACCGTCTG